GTCAACAAAGTGGGAATTTCAACTAAAGGGAAACAATTAAAAGGTTGTGGTTTTAACATCATTTAGTTGGCCTACCTTTGCATTTATGCTTTCAACGAAAAAAAGTCTGCAATCATTAAATATATACAATATGGTGATTTTAACTTTTTTTATAGTCACAAGGAGCTTTTTGTCATTTATGTTTAAACTCTCTTTGCATTCAATTGCTACCAATGTTTATGGGCTCTTTTCCTATCTTTAATATCTTTTGTAACTCTATTTTTCTTTTTCTTTTGTAATGATGTGGACTTAGTCTTAGCTTCCCAGTTGAGCTTGATTAGGGAATTAATTCTGTTAGAGTTTGGCCCAATATAAATTAAGTCCAAAGAAGGAAATTTTTAAGCCACAATTTGGGTTTTAGTCAACTCTATGTCAAAACAAACTTGTAGATTGCGCTTGGATAATACTATTAACCCAACAAAAATGTAATAGGTCCTTTTGAGCAATGGTAAAGCATAATCATGAATTAGCGGTATAGAAATACTCCAATTATTATTTTTTGTCATTACCAAATTAGTTCAATTTAGAAGCATATAAATTGTCCTTCGTGTGCTTGCAGTTAACGGAATGAATTGTAACTAAACTTTCATATTGCCTATCCTTGAAGTATCTAAATTTTACTTTCACATTTACCTCACTTATTATATTCATTGCTGATTAATTTGGATGCGGGATCCCGTTAAATGTCCGTTCATTATGGCATACAATGCTTCTGTATCTTGACCTTCTATTATTTCTCTTCTCACCATTTTATTTAAGAACTCTTATGGCTGTGTTGGAAATTTCAGGGTGTGGACTTTTATGCCATTAACACTGATGCTCAATCTCTATTGAATTCACAAGCAACAAATCCGCTGCAAATCGGAGAGCTTTTGACACGTGGTCTTGGTTAGGCTCTCCTGCCTGATGTTAACATTATCCAAAACCTTACTCATCCAAATGCGCATTCTAATTAGTGCAATATATCTGAAGTGTTACATTCTATCTTGAAGTTTCACAAAATTGAAATTTCGTGAATTTTTTTCTTTGCTGCTTCAACTTGCTAAAATGCATTATACGCCTACAACCATTTTTAATTGAAGTTAAATTAGGCTCAGTGAGTCGGTGTGCATATTAATAAATAAATCTGCAATTTCTAGTAAAGGTGAAATCTTGGTCAATAAAACAGGCCAGCTTCTAAACTGGATGACTGAAATTAGAATATCTTCATGCTCCTAAAATTAGAATAGCTAAAGATTTCTTGAATTCAGGGACTGGTGGAAATCCTCTTCTTGGAGAGCAAGCAGCTGAGGAATCCAGAGAAGCCATAGCAAATGCTATTAAGGATTCAGATCTTGTTTTTATTACAGCAGGTATGGGTGGTGGCACAGGATCTGGCGCCGCACCTGTTGTTGCACAGATATCAAAGGAAGCTGGCTATCTGACCGTTGGAGTGGTTACTTATCCATTTAGCTTTGAGGGCCGCAAAAGATCATTGCAGGTAAATGCAAACTTCGAATATTATGGTTTTTTTCGAATATTAAAAATCTGGCATCGAATTTTCAAAAATAATTGCTCGTTAAGAAATTCTCAAAGCACTGTAAATTCAAATTTCTTCTTATTTTCAATCGGTGCAGCATTCTCAAACTTTTGTGTTTAGCCATTTAATACGTTTGTTGGAGGACATGTAAATATTTTAACATTAACAATTTTATGTCCTTTAAAGGATATGCATTCTTTTTGGAGCATTTGCATAATTCATTTTTAGAAGCATTTTATATATTTTTAGCTACATTTGTGCTGTAAAGCCACAGATTTTTTTTGTGTATTTGCATTATGTTGTTGCACATTCTTCAATATGCTTGCACGATATACTTGCAAATATCTCTTTTTTTATTCTTTTTTGTGTTGTTTATCTTCTCAGTTTATATATATCTTATTTATTAAGAGTTATAGAGAGAGAGCGAGAGTAGAAGAGATATAGAGAGAAAGGAAATGGGGGAGTTGAAGAGATGGAGAAAGAGAAAAGTGATTATTGTAGGCGTAGAGAGGATAGAGATAGAGAGGAAGATGAGACTGAAAAATAGAGAGTGAAAGAGGTAACTAGAGAAAGAGGAATGTAACAGGAAGAAGTGGAGAGATAGGTGGTTTGGGTTGGTGGATTTCCTGGGTATTGAGGAACGAAAGATAAGGGAGTGATGGTTAGTGGGTTTGACTTGCCAAAGTGTTGTTGGGTTGGTGCTTTGCCAAAGCTGTGAGCTGTAAGCAACTCTCGAAGTCAGGAGGAGATGGAATCTTAGAACAGGTGACGGATATTGTGAGGTGACTTGTGTAGGTTGTGGATCTAAAAAGAAAGGGAGTAGATCCGAACCCAACCCTCTAGCAACCCGATAATGACTTGATAACTCATTTTAATTTAATATATATATATATATTAACTTGTTAACTATAAATTTTAAATTAAATGATAAAATAAAAAGATTATACCAACAAATAAAAGAATTTATATCTTGTGCATTTGAGTATTTCATATATATGGCATTTTTTATATTTACTTTTAACATATTATTTGATTATTATACAAAAAAATACTCATTTTGACTTTACGCATATTTTTTTAATTTTGAGGCTTTGGCCTTGCCTCACAAATAAAAACTCCTCAATATCCAATTGCGCAATTTTAAATATTGAATCCGGGTAAGCGGAACAACCCGAACCCCACCTGTTTAATAAACGGGTCAATATGCATGTCTCAAATCTGACTTGTTTATTAAATAAGTCATCTCAAATATGGATTTTTTGTGTTGGGTTCGGGTCGGGTTATTTATTTACACCCCTTTGACTAAAGCTACTTTTGGATGATCAATATTCTAGGCCTTTATTGATGAAGGAAGATCTATTTGTTGAAAAATGCCTCTTTTCTTGATTATTTCTGGCTTACTAAATCAGGGTCCCTTAGGGGTTTGAAGAGTTATGCAAGCTCCTTTCCTCCCATTCTTGTTTATGCTTGTTGACTAGAGATCTATTCTATAGATAGGAATTTTTGTGAGTGTCCATGATTATAGCTTTATCTTGGAATTGAAATTTACATGCTATGATGAACAAGTAAGCTTATTATATCCTTCTAAAAATCATTTGCTGTTCTAACGTTGAGTCCAGATTGATTTGATAAAATTCAATGATGGAATATGTTTTTCAATCACTAAAATAAGATTTAGGTTTTATCCGTTACCAAAAATTTCTTGCTATATCTGCAATCAGGTATTTTATTGGATCTTATAAAGGAATGGCCAATGGTTATCATCATGATTTGCACTTTTGCACATTAAATTTGTGCCATGTACCTTATATTCATACTCTATCTTGTCATGCGAACTTAGCTTTGTGAGTTTGTCTAAATTTAGGCTCTGGAAGCCATAGAGAAGTTACAGAATAATGTTGATACTCTTATTGTGATCCCCAATGACCGACTCTTGGATGTTGTTGATGAGCAAACGCCTCTTCAAGATGCATTTTTTCTTGCTGATGATGTTTTACGCCAAGGTGTTCAGGGAATTTCAGATATAATAACAGTGAGTTATTTTGTTCTCTTTAGGCAAAAAACTGCTAGTAAATTTAAGATCTACTACTTGTTTAGAATGCTATTTTTTTTCAGATTCCTGGACTAGTCAACGTAGATTTTGCTGATGTAAAGGCTATTATGAAGAACTCTGGCACAGCAATGCTTGGTGTAGGTGTTTCATCCAGCAAAAACAGGGCACAAGAAGCTGCCGAGCAAGCAACCTTGGCGCCCCTTATTGGTTCATCTATTGAGTCTGCTACAGGAGTTGTGTACAATATAACTGGTGGAAAGGATATCACTTTACAAGAAGTTAACAAAGTTTCACAGGTGAGCTCTTCTACACTTTGTACATTTGTTAAAGTCTATCCTTCTGCACATGGATCTTTCACTTATTCCACTTTTGTGTTTGATCATGCTTGATAACCGAGCCTCTTGTTTGTCATGAAAAAATACGGATTAAATTTTTTTACTGCTTCCATGGTACTTTTAAATGAGAATTTTACTTATGTTAAGAATGGTAGAGATAAACCTAAAAAGATTTGATTAGAAAATATTAGAAATGATCTTCTTTATTAGATTTAAATGAGAATTTGAGTTTTAACCGGACACAATGGCGAAAAAGGATTCATGTAGCCGACCCCACATAGTGGGACAAAGGCTTGATGTTGTTGTTGTTGTTCCATAGTACTTTTAAGGTGCAATTATTGATAGAAGTGATTCCAGATTTGATTTTTCCTCCATAATATCCCTGAACACCATAAATCCTGCAATTTTTTGCTGCTGACCTGCAAAAAAGCTTGCTAGTTTCATTAAAAGAAATGTGGATTCTATATATCTTATTGTTCTGATGGTCCAGAATATAGTAGTAAGCAGAGCCATGCATTGGGTATTCATACCTACACCCACCCATACCCAATGGGTATGGGTATGCTCATGGCCTTGTGGGTGGATATGGGTGGGTACTCAACATTGGGTTATAAATTAATTTACATTGCTAATTACCATATAAATCTTATATTATTGCAATCCTCACTACGTAGTGTGTAACACTTAACCACGTTGCGACTACGATAAATTATGATATGCGGCTTGAAAGTTTGCAATCAGAGCAAAGGACAACAAGCCTCAAAACCATCAGTCTGTGGCAGATTGCGCTCAAAAAGTATGGTAAGTGGGTGGGTGTAGGTGGGTATGACAATCCGAAAGTCACCATGGGTGTGCGAAGCCCGTCCGAGTAAAGTATGGGTACCCAATGGGCTGCTTTTTTCAAACTCGTTATGGTTTACATTTGATTGCATCATTGATCCTATTGTTCACCGGTGTTCCATCCACATTTTCAGGTTGTCACTAGCCTTGCAGATCCCTCTGCAAACATAATTTTCGGTGCGGTCATCGATGATCGCTACACCGGCGAGATCCATGTGACCATCATTGCAACAGGTTTCTCAGAATCTTTCCAGAAAACTCTCTTGGCTGATCCAAAAGCAACTAGGAAATCAGAACCCCAACCGCATGAAATGAAAGTTGGATCAGTCCCCACCAACTCCTCACCAGCCACATCTAGGCAGCGCAAGCTCTTCTTCTGACGACCTTTTACTCCCTTATCTTATTAGTTCCATGCCTCCAGGTGATGTTTCTTAGGCTGAATTGGAATTTTTCTATATGCATATTGGTCTTTGTACACTTTCTTGTAAATGCTAAGCCACAAGCTGAGTTCTTTAGAGATCATTCATTAGGCTAGACATGTTCGGTTCTATTATGGAGTGTGGCATATTTTGGATTCATTTCTTCTTGTGTTGCTAAGTTGTTATTTCCAATATAAAATTATTATGTATGAATTCATTATTAATTAGAAATGCCCTAAAAATTTGGGCTTTTATTTTGTTGATGTATTGCTGCTAGGTTGTTATGTTCTATCACTATCACATGGTTGAATGTGTTGTCCAATATGTGTATTGCTTTTGGTTATAAATCATGGAGATGCATGTAATATATATAGTGTTTCAGGGACTTTATCACAAGATATGGCACTAAGTTAGTGCTAATTAAGGCTTCCTTTTAGGAGAGATTATTCTATATGGACACCAGACAGTTTATCATCAGAGACGAATCAGTTGCAGCCATGTCATCCAGTACCGAGTTCGGTACCGAGCCACGGTACTGAGTAGGAGGTGATGTGGCGTATTTTCATTAGGCTATTAACGGTGTTCGGCGTCTGCATAGAATAATTCATCTCATTGGAATAGCGTTTTCATTACTTTTTAAGAGCAGCTATTTAGTTCAAAAAATTTATGCGCTAAGAATTTATTTTAAAAAGCAGTAATAAAACTATCTCAAATGAAGCTTACACTTGTTAATGGATTTGATAATTGTCAAATCGCACTAGACCTCATAAGTCATTAGTGTATCAAATAAGCTAGTTAATGATTAAATATTCAAAACAAAAAAAAAATCAACCATAATTTCTCAATTATATCGAATTATTACAGATTTGATCACACATTTAGACGTGCATGTTAGTTCAAAAAATAACATTAATGTTAGTTTTATAAATAAAGACACTTTTAATATTATGTACATAAATAAGTCCTCTAAGAATAAAAAACTAAGGTCAAACTATACTAATCAAATATTAATCAAAATGAAGTGATTCATCACAAAGCATAAATAGTAGCTCTTGAGATCCCAACCATTGCTTTAAAGCCTCACTCCTCACTTTCACTCATAAAAATACACTCATTTCTACTGGCTGTATAAATGAAAAAATGGCTTCACCAAACAGCTCAAACAATGAAGCTAAAAGATAGCCTGCATCAAGATCTTCCTTCCATGCCTGACTCAGAATGGAATGTGTTTTTGGTGCTCTGCTATTTCCCATCTCTCTCCGGCTTCCTCCTGGGATGCTCTCATTCGATGATAACCGGCCGGTAGAAGTCGACGGCCTTATGCCGGGATCGGTCAATGCATTGTTGCCAAAGCCATCTGCGACCGACTGAGCATTTGACATTGCCGGCATAACCGGCATTGAGTTGACAGAACCATCGCCGGCGAGTTTTTTTAGCGGCGGCTGTTGTGTGGAGTGATGGTTGCTTGCAACTGACTTCCTTTTATTACCATCTATGAGCCATGAAACATTTTATTCAGTTTTTCAGTGAGTAAAAACTATAGCAAACAGACAAATATTATTTAAAGAATCTACTGGACAACATGACACTCGCACATTGTGATCAATAACACACTTAGATTGGGATTTAAATAAAGAAAGCCAAAAAAAGGGTCCACCAATATGAAATTTTGATTCAACAAAGTCTAGCAGGTTCTTTCTTTCGTGTTATGGATCCAGAGATTTAGAATATAATAAAGTCAGCCATGTTGAACAAATCGGCAGAGAAGGAATCTCAACAGATAATTCTTATAAACAGACATATGAGAAGTATGAAGATATGACGATGACAAAAATAACATCAAGCCTTTGTCCCACTACATGGAGTCAGCTAAATGAATCCTTTTTCTCCATTGTGTATGATTAAAAGTCAAATTCTCATTTAAATCTAATAAAGAAAGATCATTTCTAATATTTTCTAACCATTGCTTACACACAAGTTAGACTCGTCTTTTTTAAGCCCAAATTTGAAGTGAGATTCGAGTTCACAAAAAGAGTTTGAGTGTAAGCATAAGTGCAAGCATAGGTGTAAATTTCAGCTTAGATTTAGCCTTCGTTTGGGACAGCTTTCTTATTGCTTTATGAAATAGATTTCTAGTACAAAATCTTTTAGTTTAAAAATTTTTTATACTTAAAAGCTGTTATAGAAAGCAGTAAAAAAGTAGTCTCAAATAAAGCCTAAATGTAAGTTTAGATCCGAAAGTAGGTTCAAGTGTAAAATCATCATGCAAAAAGGGATCATTTTGTAAGACATTAAAAAAAAGATTGATGTTTGATTTAACTTCAAAAAGGTTTTGAAAAGGCAAATCAAAGATTTAAAAAAAAAAAAATTTTTGAAACATAACTAAGTTTAGTTTTAGGATGTCTCACTTGGCATAGTTGTTGCAATTCTTCCTTTGTGTTTCCAAGTAAACCGGTTTGGTCGGGATAATAGGCCTGGAAACATTTTAAGCCGATCATACAAACACTTGCCTGCAGCACCCTGTAAAGTGCATTTTAGTATTATAATAACATCTGGCTGAAGTGAATTCAAACTAGGCTTCGTTTGGGACAGCTTTCCTATTGCTTCTTACAGCAGCTTTCTAGTTTAAATATTAAAATTTTTGTACTAGAAAGCTGCTTTAAAAAGCAAAACAAAGCCTTAATTACTCTCTAGCTCAAAATTTTCTACAGAATAAAATGCAAGCTGAACACACCAATAAGGCACCATAGACATGCCAAGCTTCTTTCCTTTTCATCTCATTCTTCTGCTTTTCAAGTAACATCTCTGGTTCTAGAAGTTGTAGGTATGTTTCCAGGTTAGGCAAAATAAGAAGGCGTACCTAATAAGCCATAATGCATTAATGTTAATATAATAGAAACAGGAAAGTAGGAAACAAGTTCGCCGGAAATGGTAATAGCAATCACCACACTGGGACCTAGGGCAGCGAGCCCTCGAATGGCACCGTAATGCTGTGTCAAAGCTTTAGAAGGGTCAAGAAAAGCATGAAGAAGTGTTTTTGTAAGCCTAGACTGCAGATTGTGATATACGTGGCCATATCTGCAAAATTTTAAAGTGGAAAATAATAACCAATTATTTCAAGAAAATGTTTCTTAAACATTCATGGTAATGTAGAAACACAGCAGAAGTAACTAAAGCCAGTAAAATCTCATTGATAAGTTGATGCCTTATATGCCAAAGCAAAATCTCAGTTCACACTTTGAGGTTTAGTTCAGCTTTGCCACAATAAGTAGGAAGCAAATGCTCACTTTTCTTGATAGTTCTCGCAATCACTAAGTCCTGTTAAGATGTTCAAAAGAACTATGTTGTCCAAAACTAGCTTGGGCAATCAATAATAAAGATTTATTTAGTGTAGGAAAGAGAGCAATGCGCTTAGATAATTCGAGGAGATGCGAAACAGAGAAATAGCAGTGACGAAGAGATTAAGGAAGTGATGAGTCTTTGTTGATTTTTTTTTTTTAATTACAACACCTTAAGAGTTGCTACCTACATGCCCATAGAGAGGGATTAATATTCAATTATTTAGGGATCAAACTGCATCATAGTTCGCTTACAAGAGTTTGCATTTCTTGCATACATCTTCAATGTGGGATGGCCCTCATTGCAAAATAGAGATCACTACCCTTCTTAATTGTGGCATCTTAGATTTGCTTGCTTTTGGCATGTGCAAGATAGTTTCCCAAAGGATCTTCATTTTGGAAGCATATAAGAATTGCAATTTGCTGATCCAATCTTCTGCTTGCTATGTAGTTTTACCCTTGATAAGTCGCATCTAAGGTGCTGTGTTGATGGTGGTGGCATGCTCTTGATAGAACTAATGATATCATTTATTGTATGCAAATTATGTCCGCTTTCTCATGTGTTGGAAGTAGGGGTGTAAATGAGCTGAGCCGGCTCTAACTTGACTTGGTAATAAGCTCGCGAGCCGAGCTTATCAAGCTCAAGTTCGAGCTTGATAAAACTTGGCTCGTCTACTTGCAAGCTCAGCTCGATTAAATTTATATTTAAAAAATATATAAAAAGTTCTATTATTTATAAAAAATTTGCTGTATGTAGCCGAAAAAACTACAAAACTTTAATTCCATTTAATGCAATTATCCTGCTGTTGTGTTTTCAAAAAAACATTCATTAATTATATTTTTTAAAACATGCTCCTGCCCTTCTCCCAATAATAAAAAAAAAGCATGCACTTCATTTCAACACTCTTCTTCTCCAATAGGAGGCTAAGCTCGTCAATGTTTCTCTCAGGATCCCGAGTTTGACCCAGTGTAACTCCGGCGATCATGCCTCCTTACTTCCTCCTTCCTCTAGTTAGCAAAGCTCACAAGTTGGTGTCCCAAATTCAACTCCCAACCACCTTTTCCGGCAAGCCAAGCCCATTGTAACTTTAGCGACCATACATTCCAACTTCTCTAGTAAGACAAAGCTCACAAGTCAAGTTCGAGCCAATTGCAACTCCGACGAGTCGAGTTCGAGCTCACCATATAAGCTTGATTTGAGCTCGAGTTCAAGCTTCTCTCTAAGTTGATGAGTCAAACTCGAGCTAGCCCAAACTCGAGCTTGACTCGACTAGTTTACAACCCTAGTTGGAAGTCTCAGTGACTTAGTATTAGGTCACACGTGTCCTTTTTCAACCACTGTTCAATCTAACTTTTAATGATGGTCTACATGGTTATCAAGTTGATCATTTCAAGCTTTCAGCTATTGATTTACTTTCATGAGTTTCCTAATATTCCATCCATGGATGCAATGTGGACAAGTCAACTTTCTTATTGGGTATTGCTCCACTCAAAAAGAGTATGTTATCAACCTACCACCAAAAAATTCCTTAATTAAAAAAGTCATATTTGATGAGAAGCATTTTTTTTTCAATCAAACTCACATTCAGAGCAAGAACTCTCTACTGAAATACAAGTTTGATGAAATCTCTATATTTTATCTTGATATTCCTACAACACAAACTCCAATAAATCCATAAACTATATCCCTTTAAGTCTATACAAGAAGGAATAAGCTCAACAAAAATCTCCAGCAAGCTTGAGACTCATAACCATTATCAAGTAAGAATGATCAACCCATCACTACAAATTCTGATATCTATCCCATCTCACAGTACACATCTTTTTGAAATTTAAATCCTACCCATAAAGCCTTCCTTACAAATATTAGCTCTAATTCCATTATAATAGCAAGGTACTTGAAAGTAAAAAATTAAAAGAATACCATGACAAAAAAAATGAATGCGTGAAAAAAAAAACACTTAGTAGATTTTTTAACCACCAAGAGGGAAGAAAATTAGATTATGCAAATGATTTTTTTATTGTAAATATAAAGCATATCGAAGCTTGGAATAACATAAACCAACATTAGTAGTCAAATGATATACTCAATCTTATGGAGTTCACTATTAAAAAACTCCTGTTTTTATTGGGAAAATGAATACAATAAATATCTTAATTTTTTTTGCAGTCAATCATGACTGGTCCATGCAACAATACAATATAAAGAATGTTTTGCCGTATAGGGATATTGAAGAAGTTCGTATGGATCCACTAGCTAGATTTGATACTTAAAAGGGTGCAAATTAAGGAAAAAGCTCTGTAAAAACAATCTCTAATAGCATGATTTGATAGATTCACAAAATCATAATGAAGCTAGATACAAACAAAGTCAAGGAGATCATACGTTCTTCATAAAATACTCAACATATTTTACAATCTCAATTCTCATCATATATGATGAGAATATAATTATTAAATGATGACAAAAATAGAAAAACGAGTCTCTCAAAAAAAAAGCATGTGAAGAATTTGATATCAAAGAGTTTGACAAACTCAAATACTAATTATAAATTAAAGTTGCTTAATCAAAATAAGGAATACTCTGTCAACAAAAATATGTTATAAATCTACTGAAAAAAAAAAATTTTTGATTAACTGCAAACTTTGTAAAACTCTAATTGAACAAAGTCAAATTTTTGACGCAGATGAAGAAGAAAAAGAAGTAGACATGAGATAATATCAAAAATTAGTAGGAAAAATGATCAACCTATCTCACACCTGCAAAGACATCACATTTTCAGTGTGTCTCATCAGTCAATTCATGGACAAAACCAAAGAGTCTTACCTTAAAATTGCTTATAGAATTCTCAAATACCTTGAATCAACTCTTGATAAGTGAATTATCTACAAAAAGTTGAATATTTTATAAATTGAAATGTATACTAATGCAAACTATACATGATCACCAATGAATAGAAGATCCACGACTAGATACCGTATATTTTTTTGAGAAAATCACAAAACATAGAGGAGCAAGAAATAACCTATTATTTTAGGATCTAGCATTAAATTTAAATTTAGTATCATTGTCCAAGGAATTTACTGGCTCATATAAATCAAAATCACTTTGAAAGATTTAAAAATTAAATATAAAGTGTCAATGAATATATATCGTGACAATAAATATGCCATCAATATTCTCCATATTACAGTACAATATGATCGTACCAAGCATGAGAAGATAGAAATTTCTTAAAATAAAAATTGAAAGTGGGTTGATCTGCACTCTATGTGGGACAATAGGAAATCCACTTATAGGTATCTTCACCAAAAAACTCTACAACCCCATGTTCATGGAATAGTAGATTTATAACAATAAGTTTGAGAGGGAGTGTTAAAGGATCATGAGACCCACAAATTTATCAATTTTGATAGGGATCCTTGAGCATGCGGATTAAGGGTTCTAACCGTTAAATTAATCATCTTATAGCCCTTAAATTGCAATTTGTGTGCATCATATTCTTATTCTAGCCGCTTGCCCCTCTTGGGGATTTTTTTTTTCTTTTTTTATAAATAGTTTTGGTTTATTTCAATTAAAACCCTATGAAAAAACATATAAATACTTTCACAAATTTATATAGAATCAAGCAATAAAATTCAAAGAACTATTTCTCGTTTATTTTACTACTCTACCATTAAAACCTAAAAAGTCAAAAAAAGTAAAAGTGTGATTCTGATATAAATAAAATCAACTAAAAGAATGAGGGGCATTGATGCAATTTTTTTAAAAGAAAATTCTAATGTTCATATCATTGAATTCCAACAATAGTGTGATTTGAAGGAGCATTTTGGACAAGCTAGATTCAACATAAGCATAAGAGTGAATTTTGATAAGAAATACTGGTTCTAATGATTTCAAGGCAATCACCAAGATAGCAACTCATCTTTATTCATGAAAAAAGGAGCTCACAATACTTAACACATGAAATTTCAAACCCACCATATTAAGAACAACCTAGGTATGCACAACATATTTTCTGTGTACAGATAAGTCATTGCATAATTTCACGGAACTAATTGTCGCCTATTGCCAAAGAGGAAATCCATATGAATAATTTAGCAGCAGCTATCAAATAAAATTGTGATAAAAAGCTTAGAGAATGAATAAAAACCGATCCACTATTGTAACTTCAAACAAACAATCATGATATGAAAAGAAACTCTTGAATCCTGAACATTTGTCCAACAACAAAAAAGTATCAATGGTAAGAAATCAGTGCACGTAAGAAAAATTTAAGCATACAAAAAGGCTCTCAAGGTTCAAGATTATCAATATAAAACAGTATTTCACCTTCTACAAACAGAAGCAACCAGGTTTGCAGAGAAATCTCTAAGCTCCCAATGATTATCTGCAAGTCTATTCCCTAACCTTTTAGCAACAATGCATGTTATCATCGAAGGCATCAGCTGATGAAGCTGCAATGTAAAAATAAATATATCCCATCAGTATTGTACGATAAATAGAAATACCAACTTATATAAACAAAACCCATCGATATCATCTTGTTCTAAATGACAACACAACTTATCTCGACAAAATTGTGCAGCCAAAAAACGGGTATTTTCCATGTAGAAGAAGATAGCAAAACCAGTATAAAGCATGCAAATAATTTTAAGGTTAAAATGACAAATTCCAACCCAAACAACAGGAATTCTCCATTGGCCTAGTTATTTTTTGAACCCTACTAACTCAAGTTGCCCTCAAGCATCCCACCAACACATGCACAAAAGACCCCTCAAAACCTCCATCCGCATCAAAGCTAAACCATGAAAGTACACAATCCTATGCTCCTCAAAAACCTCTGAGATAGGCCACCATACTGCTTTCAAATAGAAGAGAGAGAATGAAGGTGTTGGAGAAGAGATTTGTTGTCCAAGTTTAATTGCTCTAAGCATATCCCTAAGTTGTTCACATGGTGGGAGTGGGGATTAGGCTGTTTTTAGCAGGGTAGTAGTATTTTGTATTTGATATTTTGGAAATTATAAATCTTTCAACAGGTATGAGAGAAGTTTACTTCAAGTTTCATCATCAGCAACAAGCAACTTACATAAGGCTCAATGTGTATGTGTGGATTGCGAAGAAGGCTTCGTGCAACACGCATCAAAGCAAAAAGGATGGAAAGATCATTTAAACTTCGGGATACCTGTACATTTCAAGAATCATTAAATGGTAGCGTCAACTTTAGTTTATGGAAGCAATTGACTGGCAAAAGAAGCTTTTACCTCATCTGCAATGAAATAAGAAAAATAGGGGACTAAGGGGTGGAGCCCCGAATCAGTGGACAAACTTGCCAATGCTTCTTTGAATAGGGCAGATTCAGACTTGCTGATGGTTAGCTCCGTTATCTTATCAAAGTATAGCTTAAAAACAAAGAAATTAACATAATCAGAAGCTTACCATAAGACCGCTGTTTTGATACTTCATCAAAGATTGAAACCAAGCACTGATAATCTGATATTAAAACTGAAATATTACCTGAAGTTCTCTAGAAAGAACATGCTTAACTGGAAGCCTAATATCAACAGGTAGTCCATCATCTTTTCCATGTTCCAACTTCCTACTCTCTAGTGGAGGAAGAATTACTGGGAAGTATTAAGATGGTAAACCACATAAGAATTAGGAACTCATATTCAGGTTATGAAAAGTGAAATATTGAGTATTAGAGGAAATGTCTAGATCAGACACAGAAACAATCATCATAGCTAAGCTAAACAAGTTCTTTTGTGGAACGAAAATCAAAACATGAAAACCCCGTATGAACTAAATCTTATGGTAAATCAGCAATCTCTTTCTTGACCTACACATTTATGCCATGGAATAACACAAATATGATCAGCCAAGAACAACATTAGTGGTGATCAGCGAATAAAGAAATGTACGAAATAAATCAAAGATGATCGAATTACAATCGACATTGCTTGAATATCTTTCGATTCATCAAACAATCCATGACATCGTGCAAAAATGTTCGAAACATCACAACCGCAGTTGAAATTTTCTAATCATGTCCATTTTTCAAAATGAAATGCACTAAGGTACCCAATGCATTGGACTTACAAGAAAAGGCTCCGACAATCGATTCAATAGAACTCGATGAAAACAAAGGACAACAAACATGTCCCTGCACAAGTAAGGTTAGAAAAGTCTAAATTGCAATCAAATTTGACAAATTTTCATCCATTCCGCGAAATGGACAGCGCTGATGTGTTTGGAATGTCAAAAATACCCATAATAGAGAAGCATTTGCCCCATGCACTGCACAAAAGCAAAATGCAATATTTCCTATGCACAAGGTGATGCATGAATGGCAAAAGTTATCCTCTTAGATAAGAATCTATCTCAAGTCTACAAGGTCCAATTAGACAATATAACCCATTGATGATGATAAGATTCATTCGATCAAGTCGTGTGGATAACATCCACTAACTAAGTAGATTAAGATCCATAGAGACCCCAGACAACAAAACCATGAATCTTGATTGAATTTGTCATTATTCCCTCCATCGTCCACTTTAAGTTAACGATGATACCATAAAATAAAAATTATAGCTACTATAAGCCAAGCATTTAATATCTATCAACTATTCTTAATCGAAAATTCTCTTTCATCATCGAGTAGGGTAATTAAACACAAGGGCTTGCACCTATGGAAAACGAATAACAGGATCATAAAATTCTAGTGCAACAACGGCAAAATATTAAGGTAGCGTTTTAACTACAATCTAATATCTCTTTTAAAATCAACCTGGAACCAAAAACTCTCTTAAAGAGAGAAGCGCAAATTTTTTAAATCCCACAATTGCTAACATTTGAACCTTAGACCTCTACTTTTAGGGTTAAAGGCAATAGCACTCGCCTAAATGATTTGTGGTATTATTCTATCAAAAGCAAATACAACAATAGAGGGATGCTATGTAGCTTAAGGCAATACGCAACAATAATGGAAAGGAATGAGGCACTCTCCACTAACACAATAGAGCCTACCATCAACAGGAACATTTTCTGGAATTGCAGGTTGCACCCCTTCAATAGCCAACCAGTGGGTCACCACAGCAGTATCAAGAGGGGCTTTAGGTAATGGTGCTTCAATCAGCTATCATCAACAGAACAAATAAATTAATAAGCATATAGCAAAAGAAAATCAATTGCTGTGTTACCAAACTTGAAAATAATCATGGTACATGTAACTGTACATCTTTGAAGTCTAGATCTTTATCATCAATGTAGAACAGATCCTTATGACCCACAGCCCTTTTGAACCTCAATGGATCCCCAGTTGCAAACCCATAAAGCGGCTGTCAAAAATATAAGCATTAAGAAACAATTAAAGCGCCATAGAATTCTTGTTGAAAGAACTTGAAGGAAAAAAAAAAAATCAAATTCATCCTCAAACCAGCCAATTCCAGAAGCTTAAACTATATGAGGATCTCAGGCGAGCTCACATGAATGTGTTAATTTGGCAACTTTGCAAACAACAGAATATAAAAAACGGGCTAAAAACACCTATATACACAACATCAACAAAATTTTTCGACTCCTCTCAATCAGCCTTACCCTGGCACTCTTAAAAGAAAGCATGTGCATCAGAAAACTCGAATTTTTAAGAAAATGAAACAAAGAAAGAAAAAATAACCAATTAAAAACTTGAGAGAGACAGAAAGCGAAGTCACGCAGACAACCAAACAACAACCTTCAAGAGCAGTTCTTGGTATTTAAGTTGAGAGTACGAAGAAAAGTACCAAAACCTAAATCAACTAGGACAAGCCACAGCTAGCAGCTTGATACCAAAGAAGCCACAAAAGAAGGGGAAAAAAAGCTAAATTTGATATCTTTAAAAAGATGCGATAACAAAAATCCTAATTTTCCCAGTCTAGAAAAAAAAATAGCATCGAGCAAACTCAATACTCCAACAGAAGCAACAAACCTCCACATTCCTCAGGCTAAGAGCGCTATCCACATCGTCCGCCGTCAACACAGTCCGTTTCGAGTGTCGCATACACTTGATCGCCTCCTGTTCTCCCACACCAAAGTTCGCAAGTCAATCAATCAACCCCTCCAAAGGAACAGAATTCTACGAACACCAAATCTAATATAAAAAAAACCTGCATTATCTCGCGGAGGCGATATTCAACGTCGGGGGCAAGGGCGAGGGCAACATCAGAGGAGAGATTGGCGATGCCTATGCTCTGCGCGATAACCTCAATGGTTTCCTTCGGCACGATACTCATATTTTCCAGGCTTGGAGATCCAGCCTTTCCTACTCTACTCTCGCAACTCTCGGCATTAGGAATCGCCGGTGAGGTTGGGCTCGAAGAGTTGGAGCTTACGCTTAGCGGACAGAGCGCAAGATGTTCGACCTTATGCCCTGCCGCTAGATTTGGTTCGATCCGCATCCAAACACCGAAGTACAAACAAATCTTCAGTTCACCTTTGGTAGGATGAGCAATCGTCGTCTTTTTCACGGTGAATAGAACAGCGGTAATGTTAGCCCCTGGATAAAAACAAGGGGCCAGACCCGACCCATATTATTATATATATAATTTTATAAGCAGCAACCAAAAGAAGTTTATTTTTCAGAAGGTGAAGTAGACCATACAATTTTTTTTTTCTTTGTATCCTACAGTTTGTACTAAAAACTCATTGTCTTGTAATTTTTTATTTGTTTTTTTATCCATGAAATCTTTTTTTAGCTCTCCAATCCCATTAAAATGAGAAAATTAACATATTAGATCATCTTCTACATTTATTGGCACCTTTTGTTGTGTCCTGAAATATTCACGATGGTAGAAATTGATATAGTTTAGCGTCTTAGTTTTGAATGAAGATCCAACACACAAACATATAATAGAGTATGATTATATAGTTTATAAGAGAATATAATTTTTACGTGAAAACCCCAGAAAAGGAGAAAAACCACGGGGTCTAGCCCGGTTTGAATGAATCCACTAACTTTTGCAATTGATTACAAATGAGACCCTTATAAGGAAGATCTTGGCTCGATGTAGCAAATATATATCATACAGAGTGCATTCTATGTTGGGAGTTGGAAGAATCAGCGTTGATATGTTCGTTTGGGGCGGCAAAATCATAGTCGACGAGCGATGTAGTTCGGAAGGACTATAGTAAGATGAAGGTGGTCGGAAGGACCATAGTTGACAGGTGATCGTGGCCACAAGGGTCATAGTTGGAGGGCGATGGAGGTCAAAAGGATTGTAGTTGGCGTCGGTGGTAGGAAGATAGTAGTTGGAGGGTGATGGAGGTTGAAAGGACCGTGGTTAGAAGACGGTGATCGGAAGGACCGTAGTTAGGCGACAGTGGTCAAAAGGACTGTAGTAAGTGGACGACGGAGGCCGAGAGGACCGTAGTTGGGCAACGGTGGTCGGAAGGGCCTTAGTTGGGCGATGATGGTCAGAAGGATCGTAGTCAGTGGGCGATGAAGGTCAGGGGGTCGTTGGTGATCAACGAATGGGTGGAATTCTGACAACGATCGAAAAGAACTCTAGTAGTGGTCGAAGAACAGGTGGAAGTCCGACAATGTTCGGCAGACTGGAGGAAGTATGGCGGTGATCTCCAGACTGTGAAAGTCCGTCGGTGGTCGGAAGATGGTGAAAGTACGATGGTTGTTGACGAACGGGCGGAAGTCCAATGTTGGTCGGGAAGAACTCCAATGGTGGTCGGTGGTCAGTGGTCGGTGGTCTGGCAGAAGTCAAACGGTGGTCGAGAAGAACTCCGATGGTGGTCGGCGGACGGGCGGAAGTCCGACGATGATCAAGAAGAACTCTGGTAGTGGTCGACAAACAGGAAAAGTCCGGCAATGGTCAGCATAATAGAGGAAGTTTGTTGGTGGTCTCTGAACTGCCGAAGTTCGTATGTGGTCGGAAGACTGGGGGAAGTATGATAGTGGTTGACGGACAGGCGGAACTTCGACGATGGTCGGGAATAACTCTAATGGTGGTCGGTGAATGGGTGAAAGTCAGGTGGTGATTAGGAAGAACTCCAACGATGGTTGGAAGACTACCGGAAGTTCGACGGTGGTTGGCGAACAGGTGGAAGTACGATAGTGGTCGGGAAGAACTCCGACAGTGGTGGTCGTGGAGAGCTCCGACGATGGTTGGCGGCAAGTTAGCTCCCAAATTCTTCCCATCTATTCCTTTTTTCTTCCCCCTTGAAATGAAGAATGGGGGCCTATTTATAATTTCTTTAAAGTGACATGGCTTGTAAATATGGAGATGATCAAGGTCAATATGGGAGTGGTTTAAATGGACGGCTGATATTGATTCCTTTAATCGTTGGATTCATCTTGTCGAGCTGCTTAATTTGACTATAAGCTTGTCACATTTGGAATTTGTTTGGTGATTCAAATTATGCTTTGAACCCTCCAAATATGCTTTGGACACTTTATTTGGGATCATATTATAATAATTTTGGTGTCGTTGGGTTCATCTTTTCAAGATGTTTAGTTTGATTATAAGCTTACAGAAATCGAAGTTCGGATGATCTTGAATTTAATTTTCAAAACTTCTTTTTCTCATTTGCATCGAGATTCGTGTCTAATCAAGACGAATTTTGAAGACATATCACCTCTAATGCAAATATTGAAGCTAGTAGACTATTTCTCTCTCTCTCTCTCTCATAGGTTTTTGGGTCATACTCGCAAAGCTCACTTATTAATAAGATTAGGTATCACCCACAGTCAGCTCTCTTATTAGTAAGATTAGGTATCACCCACAATCAGATTTAGATCCAACAAAAAAGATGTGAGGAAGTCGTGATATACACATTTTTATTCATTTCTTAAAAATTATATACATTACTTAGAATTTATACAATTGTACCACAATTATTCTGTCATGAGTATAAAATAACAAAAAAAGAACTATAACCTGAGGAATCTTGATCAATCTCACACTCTTAATCATCTGTCCCGACCTAAAAATATTTACAACAAGCAGATAAATCTCATAAATGAACTCAACATAAGGCAAATAAGCAATATGCATATCAGCAATGAAATAATAACATTAACATTTAGATGATCATAGGGTAATACAATAGAGAAATCGGTAAATCAGTACAAATATCAAATCACTAAAGAAATCGTCGTATCAATATTACAATTAGTACATAAATTATATAAAATATCAAATCAATATATCGATAAAGACTGACAAAAATCATATCAATATAGTAAAATCATATATAAAATAATTGTATTCATGTATCACATTCTCAAAAATATCATATAAATGCCAACTCAATATTAGTGTCTAGTATACATGCTTAATATATATTAGATGATCAACATATTAATAACAATAAAATAGTAGTAGCATCAACATCTGGTGATCAACATAATTATATGTGTCAATTTCTTAAGGATTTTCACAAGTGCACAAAATTATGAAGAAAATAGTGTAATTAAAATATAATAATATTTATGGTAAAGACGATTTTCAATTTGACTTATAATGAATCATGAAAATATTTATTATAAGCTCTTATTGATTCATGTCATGACATAACCATATGGTTTGCGTATAAACCATATTATTTTGAGGTATAAGAAAATAAAGCATAACATGCACGCCCTTTAAATGCATATTCTATCTCCTTATATCACAAAATTGATGGACCAACTTTATATGTGCACTTCTGTTGTTAGATGACTATCATAACCTACATAAGATGTAAGTCAAATCAATGAGCTTCTAGACCAAATAATATCAAGTTATAATTCTTAACTTGAATATTTTCTCTATTATGTTGAGGAGATATCCATATATTTTTTAAATTTCATATGATCAATTTTACGAGTCCTATATTGGATATCTTTTTCACCACATAGAGAAGTATCATTGTGTTTATTATCAACCTTAAAGCCTCTAAATTTTAAGCCCTAACACGGGTTTCTCCTCAATTGCTACTGGATTTTAAGTCTTTCATATCAACCATGGCCAAGGTTTATACCTCTTGATTTGTAGAATATTCCTGGATGAGGTAACCCATAATTGTTAGTAATAATCCGCAAGTTGGCACATAACTAAGTAGATCAAGAACCTTGATAACCTAAAATCATATAACCATAAAATTTTGATTGGGGCTGTAATCCTATTTGGTAGTTTAGTCCTCACCTCACATTCATTGAATCATCTCTCTTTTGTGACCACCTTTGTTATGAAGCTTTTGATAACTCCACCTTTAAGTGGAAGTAAGACCCTTTTTATTCGATACAATCAAGTTGTATTTCCTACATCATATGGATGAGGTACATTCACACCCTTATTAGCCTTAAGGTTTAGGACATATGTTCATTGTAAAGTTCAATATTACTTGCCCCCACACTTATGAGATTTACTTGGATGAGAACCCATGGATTGCTAGTGAGCATCTTATAATAAAGTAAAGTTTGCTACTTTCTTAATTAAATATGGCAACGATAATCTAGGATGATAGATTATTCAAATTCTAATGGGTTCAACTTCCTTGGCGCCATTCACCTATACACATTTAGGCAATTATCAACCACATGGCATTGTAAGTCCGATATGGGCATCTCCTTCTAGTTGGTGTGGAGTTATAAGTACACTTTTGCTTCTGGTTATTGTGCATTTGAGTTATGCTCTTTGATTTTCAAGACGTCCCACTTCTTCAATCTCATAGGATTTATTACAATTTTGATATGAATAGACTGACTTCAACTCTACTTCTTTCGAGCACAAGTATTTCATTCTTAATCAGGAGTGTTCTTAAATACGCCAATATGTAAATAACCCCATGAGCCTGCTCATTTGTGAAGCCTTGACCATCAAAGTTAAAACAAATATATTTGAATCATATTTTATAATTTATCATTCATCATAAAAAAAAAAAATCTTCCCTCCTAAATTATAAGGCCATACATTCTTTCTCATTAAAAAATTTCATCATTAAAATTTATCCACATCATTTATGTGAGATGAATAATTACCTAAATTTCTAATAAAAAAATATGAAGAAAAAGGTGCACTTTGGAGGGACAAAAATGGAAGCTTTGACTCTCATTAAAAGATGGGCCAGCAAAGCAAAATGGGCCTTAGACCAACTTGGCTTATCAACTGACAAGAGGGTAAAAGTAAACTCCCTTCCTCCTTTGGTTGCACAAAGCCAGCTGCAATTGGATACCTGTGGTGCCAGGAGACCTTTCCTTCCATAGCTTTCCCCTTGTCGATTTGGCTCAGGGCGTCGGTCGATCTCCCATCTGAATTTCGATTTCGATCTTTGAGAGATCTTTCGGTGTTGAAAGCTATTGGGATTTTCGATGAGGAAGAGGGAGAGGGAGAACCCTTGCGGTGTTTGCGGTCATTACCACCGGTACGAGGAGGGGGAGGTGTGCGGAATCTGTGGCCACCGGATTCCGGCGTCGGACGAAAAGACAATCCAGCACGCGAGCGCTTTCCCGACGGAGATTTGGAAGGACTTCCTCTATCTTGGGAGCTACGACAACGCCTCGAGAGGGGAGTTGTTGAAGACCCTGGGTATCTCCCGCATTCTTAATGTAAGTCCCTGTGGATGTTTTGCTGCTTTGAAGTGAACTTGTATTGTTTTGTGAAGTCAAAAGAGTTTAGGAGGATTTACATACATGCCACTTTATTTCATGCTATTTACACATCTAAAACATTAATATTACATGAGTACCATCCATAGAACAAATATGGGTGCATGGAATGAAATATTAAAATTTATAGGGTGATATGAGTGGTAAGAATGAAATATATGAGTAATATATTTGATATTAATGTTGTATATGGGTGGTAGGCATGTAAAATTAATGTTTTTGATGTTATATATGTAAATAACATTGAATAAAGTGGTATGTATGTAAATCCCCCAAGAGTTTATTATCTTAGCATTTTACTAAAATTTAGTACACTCAGAGATAAAGTTACTACTTGAAAAATCTTGAAAAGGAATAATCATGAGGTATTGCCCAGTTGAAATGATTTTAGTAGTATACATTGTGAGTTACAAATGATGCTCTTTCACAGGGGAAAATATCGATATACTAGACATAAACTGTATAGAATGTATTATGTGTGTTAAAGTTGGAAGAGCCTTGTGGTATGAGAACTGTCTTAAAAATCATTTGCCACATGTTTGGTTGTTGTCCTTTGATAAGAGGAAATTAGGGACCATAAAGCATAGTATAAATCTTGATATTGACGTCGAAAGTCAAAGTTCATGTCGAAAACGTGCATCAACCTTATAGGTGATAGGTTCGTCAATGCTTTTGGTGATGGTGAGCAACAAAGTTAATTGGCATCAATGTAGTCAGAGGACTGTATTGGACAATGGTTATTGGAGGATCATAGCCAGGCCATGTGCGGCAGTGGACAAAAAATTGTAATCGGGCGATGGTGGTCAGAGTACTGCAGTAGGAAGATTGCGAGTAGAGAACCATAATTGGTTGATGTTAGTTGAAGGTAGTCAGGAAATCTCATTTGAGTGAATGTGGTCGAGAGATCTTATTTGGATGGTGGTAGTAGGGGATCGTAGTCTGATGATAGTGATCAGGGGGCTTAATTAGGAGAGGATGGCCTAGACGTCGTAGTTTGGTGATGGTGGTCAGAATATCATAGTTGGGAGATGGCAGGTGTAGGACCGAAGTCGGGCAAAAATGGTCAGACAATAGTGCTTGGAGGATTGTTGTCGACTTATAGTTATCGGAATATTGTAGTCGGACAGTGGTAGTCAGATCGTAGATGGGTGAAGATAGTCAAACAATAGTAGTCAAGATCGTAGCCCATGAATCCTTTTTTAACATTTTTGTTGAATGCAAAATGATAAGTCAATTCCATTTTTTTATAGTTATTTCACAATCCAGCCATGTTACTTTAGCTCTTATCATTTTTTTTCTTAATATTCTGACATTAATTTTGTCAAGTTCCGCTATTAGAGCATCTTCTGTCTTTTGTTGTAAATATTCTAACAATCTATTCCCACTTTTTACTATCATACAACAACAACATAATACACTTCACTTGAACTAAATCCTTACTACTCCTATCTCTTTGTTTGGCTAACTTATACATATATCTTTCTCCCTCTTTAGTATCTAATCTATTATATAAATCACTAAAAGCTAATGCCTTTGCATCGCTTTTAGTTAGCCAAACAAAGAGATAAATGGTGCTACTCTCAAAGGCTATAGAATTATTTTATATTTCACCTTACCTAATTATTCCTACTTATCCACCGTAACATTTTTTGTTTCTGCCACATTCAACTTGACTAGTAAGTAGCAACTTATTTGTTTCATAACACATGGATTCATATGGCATAGATGATCTGATTGCATTGATATAATTTGCCTATAAATATCTTGAATATCACATATCAAATAGTACTTATGAGCATTTCTTCATTTTAACAATCAATCTTTAACTCTAAATCTTATATCCTCAGCTATATTCACATAATTTACTATAATAGATCTGATTAATGTTATATAATAGGCGCCACTTGATTTGTCTAATATTATTGAATGTGATTGTCAATTTCATATAATACTAAAATTATGTGTTATTTATTCAAAATTTTGGGTACTAATCTGAGGCCTTATCTTTAAAATTGATTCCTTGTTCTAACTCTTTACTTCATAAAAGATCTCACCTATTTATACTATATTTGTAAGTATCATACAATAAGATGGCCCACCTAGAAATATTTTTAATGAGAATTTCAACAAACAATAATATGCACTTTTAATTTTAGGCACCATTGCATATATATCTTTTATAAATATAACTAATTTTAAGCCCGATTGCATTTATTTATGTAATATACTAATATATGTATATATTTGATGCATATGTTTTCTTTTTAATGCCCATTGTTATAGGAGAAACCAAGCACATATTTCTAAGATCATTAAACACTATATGAGGATTTTTTGTTGCTTTTATATTTTACATTAATTTTCTTAAAACAAAATTACCTCTATATTATATTTCTTAGGATCATTGCTCCTATATTGTATACATTAATTTTCTTGAATAAAATTACCTCTATATTATATTTCCTAGGATATAATTTAATTGATTCTCCAATACTTTTATAATCTTTCTAACCTGTGTGATATTACCTCTCCTAAAATGACATTGTTACACAATGAGTTATATTCTTGCATGAAAATAATCTTTAATGTCTCTTTGAATCTTAAAGATTGGTGTCAAAATGATTTTTCTTAATATTATTATTTTAGTCTTTAGGACTTTGTTGTGATTTTAACAAAACTACTCCAATCTCTCCTATGTATCTTGAACTCTTAATATAATTTATTTGGACTTGAAATTTTTTTTTTTTAATTATGCATCTCTCTGAAGCTAATTAAGATTCAATTTTTCGTATCTAATTATTTCCCTTTTCTTCCTTAAAACCCTCTTAATTTTTTTTTATTATTATGAGTAATTCATTTATTATGTGATCTTTCTTTACAATAACATTAATTTGTATGTTTATGCGCAACACATATTCCTTTTCCTTTGTGCTACTTAACTAGTTAGATCGAGTTTGTACTTCATTGTTTTTTTATTTGCAATTTTTATATGTTTTAATTCTTTCTTCCTGTCCTCTACTTGTACTGCTCTAGTTGTTTTCACTTTTAGGCTGAAGGAATTGAAAAGGTGTAATATATGTTATTTGATTAGTTTTATTAGCGTTTAATACAAAGTATGAGTTAGAAGGAGTCCTGTATTGAGTTAGAAGGAGTCCTGTAAATTTTTTTTTAATGATATTGTGATATTCAAAAGAAAAGTTGAGTTAATTGGAAAAGTAAATAGCTTTAAAGGCTTTTAACATAGTTATGGGCAACCTTAACTCTTTTCAATAGAATTTGAACCCTCATACTTACAAGAAATTATTTTGTGCGGACACCGGACGGCGAGAACCGTCTGGATTTGCTGCGCTTTACTGAGTATTTACTGCACATTTGCAAATACTCAGTAAAAGTGCATCAAATATTCAATTATTAATGAACTTTTATTGAGTATTTGCTGTGCTTTTGAAAATACTCTGCAAAAGTGCAACAAATATTCAATTATTTAGTAAATATTGAATATTTGCTACACTTTTATTGAGTATTTGCAAAAGCGCAGCAAATACTCAGTAAAAGCACAACAAATCCGGACGGTTCTCACCGTCCGGTGTCCGCACAGAATAATTTTTTCCATACTTAAACTTTCTTCCCAAGTAATCTATGGCATGGGAAATGGCGGTTTTATGCTTCATGTTCACTTAAAAATAAGGGGCATTGATTCACATCTTTGCGTTTAAGCTTCAAGTGTGTATACATATGCATACAATAGTTATTTAATCAACCATATATAAATTATATACTATATCTTGCACATACAAGTGGGGGTGTAAGCGTGCCAAGAAGGGACTGCATCCTATGGGAGAGAATGGGAGCCAATAAGCTAATAACTTTGATAAACAATGTGGAAAAATAAATATTGTGCCTAATTATTGTGGTAAATGTGGGACCAAATAATGAAATTTGAACTAAGATTTTACAGATGGTGGTAAGACTTGCAATGCTTTATAGCGCAGAATGTTGGCAATTAAAAGAAAACCATAAATTTAAGCTAAGTGTTGTAGAGATGAGGATGCTTAAGTGGACGAGTTGCTTTATACTTAGAAACAGAATGTGAATCGAGTATATATGTGAGAAGGTTGGAGTAGCTCCAGCAGCATATAAGATTAGAGAGAGTAGCCTTATATGGTTTTGTCACATAAAATGTCAACCTTCCGATGACCCTATTAGAAGAGTAGATGTATTTTAGCCGGCCTATGTTAAGAAAGGTAGTGTTAGACCTGTAATTTATCAACTAAGCCTTGACATTTAAAAAAAAAATCTCATCATATCATATATATATATATATATATATATTTCTTTATTATTTTAGCATACCATGATGCCTTTTTTGTCCTGTTTTGATGGATTGTAGTATGAATACTAATGAAAAGATAGTAGCATTTTCGTTTGACAGTACCAACCTCTAATTATGAATACTAATGAAAAGATAGTCCCATAAAATTGATGTGATAGTTTGACTGTTGAAAGAATGGACAGCAGTTTTTGGGCTTCCTGATTATCTACTTAGGGAAGTCATTTATAACACTCCACCAAATGAATAGAGCTATTTTAGAGCAAGTTTGGTAGGCCTAGGTGAGATTGACCAGATATTGAATTTTTGTGCCTAGACAACTTGCATAGGAGGAACTTTGGGTCAACCTCATCCTTGATGCAAGGAAGGCTAAATCAGTGACCTCGGTGGATTTCATGTCATTAGAAGAAGAGAATGAAGACCATGAACCGAATCAAAATGAAGAATCAATGATTGCAGTTGAAGATGATAGGTATGTTCAAAATATTGAAGATATCTCTATTGGCTTTTAGTTAAAAAATAATCCTTGAGGTAATCATATTTTAATGTGGACAAAGATATACAAGGCAACGAGGCAATTGGAGATTAGGGGTTAGGGGATTGAAATAAAAGATTAATGTATTTTGGATTATGTTTTTCTGAGTAACTAGCATACTTTATGCTTTTAAACTAGCATACTTTATACAAAGATGGAATAAGGATAAAGATAGTACAATCAATCCTACTTGCTTGAATATAGATTAAAAAGTCGCAAGTAGAAGGCCTATAAAGCTTAATTAAACCCTCTAATAATATGCAAATAAAGGAAGAAAGCAGCTGTAATGGTGACTAGTAAATCCAGCTAAAGGCATGGATCCCCATAAGTAGAAACACTGTGCTCTCAAAGTTAGGAAGACGAATAGGAAAAATCCTATTAGATCCAGTGGATTAAAAGCTTGCTAAGTTCATGAAGAGTTTTTTTTATGAATTTTATGAAATGGATTGGAATGTTATGCAAGAAGTAGACATCATTGAGAACAATGACCCTACATTTCTGCCCAAGTTTTGATTACAGCTCTGACTTTCACAAACCAAGTAGATACTTTGAAGATTCAGTTAGAAGAAGAGATTGAATATAGCATACATCCATGATTGGTCCAAAAATTAGTATTGTACATAAGTTCTCTCTAGGGTGGAGTTAGAAATGTCATATATATAGGTTTTGAAAACGAAGATCTAGATTGGGATTAAGATGAATAAGAAGAGCAAGATCTCAGTCAAGAAATAAGGAGAAAAAGACAATTCTACATCACCTTATATTATAAATGTTTTGTGGACTACTTGAATAACATTAGGTAATTGTCATGCTTATAACAGTCTTTAAATAATTCAATCCCGTAGTTATGAAAGTGTTTGCATAAATAGTCTTGTCATACTACATTTTGTAAGACAATGGAAGCTAGCAATATTACACTTCTCTAGCTATGGGACACCTTTATCTTAGAACTTTTAAATGAGAAAATATACATTGGGGAGTTTGTAAGTGTAAAATTTTAGAGTTCAAGGGAACTTTAGATATAATTATATTCGAGAATTGGATCCCACGACTATAAAATTTTAGATGTATTATGATGTGTAGATGAAAAATGGAATTTGCTATCTTTACTTTTGCAGGGAGGTTTATCAATGTTTGGCATCATAAGTATAGATCAAAATTTGTCAACAAGGTAAGTTTACCTTGGGAAATTTTATATAGACCTTCTACTATAAGTATTTCCCTAAGCAATATCGAAATATAAATGGAATTAAGTTTCTTTAGTCAAATGAGGAAAATATTTTTATTTAGAATGCGGTCAAGTTCAAGGAACTATTGCTGTTCGCTTCTCAGAGAACTTTCATAATTTTCAAATGCTTGTGCCCACAACGCCCACATGCCCCCATCTCAAACACAAACATGTTAATCAATGATACATGTAAAGTTTAAAATATTGTGGAGAGTTTATTATTTTATGATTTTTAGTAATTTTCCTTCTTGAGCCTCTTAAATCTCATCATGTGATTTTTCAAATCATACTAGCAGGCAAGAGCTTATTGTTTACCATAAAATTCTTTTTTTAAAAATCATTTATATGATTTGAAGTGAATTAAAAAAGGAGTATATGACAACTAATCTATTATAAGCCGTATCCTACTTGTTATTGTTCATTTTCTCCTAAATTCGCATCTACTAGTAACCAATTGGATGTGATGCCAAGGGTATAAATGAGCCTGAGTCGAGCTCAAGTCATTGCAAACTCGAGCTGGGCTCGTTAGTGAACACAACCTAACTGGATTCAAACTTCAGTTTTACTTCAAACATTTTATCGTGTTTAAGCAGAGAATTATAAATAGAAATATGAATATATTCCTTTTTCCTTCCTGTTAATTGCTTCTACCCGAACAATTGAGATGTAATTATGAGGTATATCATGTTTCCTTTCTGCTTTGAATCTCCTAAACCAAACACAGCCTTACATTTTTTATGTCTGCTTATTTTCTAACATTACTGTATTTCAAAAGTTATATTGTGTATTTGTATTCTTCAGATAAATGAGATGATAAATTATGATTTTCTAACATTAATGTGATTTTTATATCTTCTCTGCTATCTAATTGATTTGCGCATTCAAACATAAAAGTTCCTTTTTCTAATTGTTGTATTTACCTTAACAGATTCTTTTTCTTTTCAAAATATTTGTCCTTACTCATTTCTGCAGACTGTTCCTTCTTGTCAAAATCTGTACAAGAATTCTTTCACTTATCACTGCCTCCCAGATGACAAGAATCTGCAGTTCGATGATGCAAACCAATTTTTAGGTATTTCTGTAGCACATTTTATACGTTGTTTGCTACATTATCTTCTTCGTGAATACAATGCAATTGCACCTAAGACGATCCTCATGCCCTGTCATACAGTAAAGACTTCGAAGCTTCATTTTGCATAACTGTTCTATAGCTGTGCTCTATTGAGTAAAATTACACTGCTTTCACACTGTTGAACAAGCTGTGTCCTACATATGCTCCCTTCGTGAAGTAGCCAGGATGCACTTTTCCCCTAGAAATCAAAGCTATTTTTAAAAAATGAAGGAGAAAAGCTATATTAAATGAAGCCTAACTGTCCATTAAGAAAAAAATTGCCAACTTTTCTGCTAAGATGCACCTCCAAAAAAGAGAAACATTGATGTATTTTTAAATATATTATTTTGCTAAGTTTATATTGTTACACACTTACACATGAGTGCACATATATATATATATGTACTGATCTTATTTTTGTATCAACCAAGTTACATAGTCTTCAAACTCAATATTGCCTTATTGATTGTGATCTGCAGCATTTGGATGACAAAAAAATAAGTTCAACCAATATATAAAAGCTTACCAATCAGAGCCATCTATATATGCTAATTAACCATTTGGTTACTTGAAAAGTTGGTACACAAAGTAGTGAAATTGATTAGATTCTATAATTCAGTTGGATGTAATTAAAAATCAAGATGGATTTTGGACCCTAAAAATTTCTCATTATAATGATTTTGTCTTTGCATGAATTAAAATAAATTCCTTTTTTTTTGAAGAAATTTTATTATGAAATTATTTTCAACCTAAAATGGACTTGAACTTCGTAGTAAGATTACCTTCATTCAAAAAGTTGAATTGATTTTAGTGTTACAACATTTAAAAAAAATATGTTTGTAATTCCTTGGGGATTTTAATGTACATTAATGATTAAACCAAATGAACCTTAAATATCTTTATGTATCTAATTCCAAGCCATTAAAATGTCTACATTTTAAAACTGTATTTTTTAAAAAATGTTAACATGGCCATTTATTGAGAAAATTTTGATTTATTTGATTGTCAATCAAATGGTTTGTTGCTGGTTTTTTAGGGCTAGTTTAGCCATTTGTGTGATTGCAAGTTGGCGATTCCTCCATTTGGACATGTTGACAATTTGTGGGATTGAAGACGAAAAATCCCTATTGGGATTCAAATAGAACGAGTGTTGTGAGTTCTAGAATATCTTGTTTTATTTTCGTACATGCATACAGAAAAATATGGTTAAATTCTTAGATATTTTGTTGTGTGTTCACTATGTTATTAATTGTTTTCATAGATCGAAGTTATTTGAGAGCAACCTTAAATTCTGTTATATAACTAAACTTATAAGGTTGGCAATGAAATACACACAAAATTTAATTCATTTATTTTCTCTTCATAGTATTAGAGCTCAAGGAAAGAAAATTCCTAAGCATCCTTCGCCTAGTGTCTAGTAAGCTAGTCATCACAGAAAAGTTGTAGCATTCTTCTAGCTGCATTCTTCACTGCAATAACCCTTTTCCCAGTAGCTATTACCGGCAATCAGTTGCTTCTTATAGCCTTCACCTCATTGTTAGGTTCATTAATGCATGAGGACCATCCTTTATCACTATATTAATAAGGCCTTATGATTTATTTCTTTTGTAGACTATTACTACCATATAGTCTAACTTTTTCGCATGAAAAATAAATCTAATGTGATTACAATCTTCCCCATATTTCATAAAATAATCCTTACCCAATTTGGTTCTAATATCAAACATATTTGATCTGATAATGGGAAGGAGCATTTTAATCAAGTTTTATCCTATTTTTTTCATGATGAAAGTATGATCTATAAATTCTCTTGTGTCAACACTCCACAACAAAATGAGGTAGTAGAAAGAAAAATTATCATTTTCCTAAGACCACTAAGGTCCTACTATTTGAGAGTAATGTTTCAAAATTTGTTGTGGGAAGCTAACTTGATTGTCATATTCTTGATAAACCATCTTCCAGTAGAATTTAACTAAACAAATACACCTATAAAAATCCTCAGAGAATTTTTTCCTCACATAAAACACTCACTTCTTCCACTAAGAGCCTTAGGCTGTTTTTGTGGCATATATACATCAAAATTATCAAAACATTAATTTTTTTTCCTAGAGATCTAAAATGTGTTTTCCTTAGATACTCGTTGACCCAATGAGGTTTTCAGTAATACTTTCAAAATTCTAGAAAATTCTTCTCGCATGGCGTCAATTTTGCTGAGAATCTGGAATTATATGACCAAAGTTATCTTTAGGGGAAGCTTTGGAATGAACAAATTTGATTTTCTAAATTTTCATCTCTCGCGACCCAACCAACCCACATAACTTCAAGTAACCCCAAGACTTCCCTATAGATATATGCAGCCCTTCTAATAAAAATCCTAACAAAACTCTACCTATTGAACTAAAATCATTATTACAGTTATACTCAAGAGTAGCAAAGAAGAGTCTAACACTCAACCATAGCTATTGAAATCCATGCAAGATGAATCACTATGCCATGAGCTTTACTATTGAAATTCAATCATGACATCAGCCTTGCTTTATGTTAAGATAGGGTACACAAACATCGCCCAACATTCAATAGCAAACTTTATTTCCCTTTCGAACTTGTCATCCGAAAAAGCTTCTCATTGAGATAAATAATATTAGGATTCCAAGAGTCATCTAAGAAGCACTTGGGAATAAAGATTGAAAAGATGTCATGCTTTAAGAAATGAGAGCCATATAAAAAACCAAACTTAGGAGGTAGAATTGCCACAAGGAAATAAATTAATTGGTTGTAAGTAGGGGTGTAAACGAGTCGAGTCGAGCTCGAGCCAGGGGGTGTTCGAGCTCGACTCGCGAGCCAAATATCGAGCTCGAACTCGAGTCGAGCTCAAAAGTCGAGCTCGAGCTCGACTCGCAACACCTAAACGAGCTGTCGAGCCGCTCGTCGAGCCGCTCGAATTCATTTTCCCGCCTGTTATTCAACATTTTCCGCCTCGTTTTTGGCTAAAGACAGGTTGACGCGATGGTTACTTTTTCCCCAGGTTAAAAAGATGTTTTTGCATTTTTTAAGACCTGCAGCTTCTACCTTTTTTTTGTTTATTTTAAACTAACAATAACATTTAATATACATATTTTTTGAACTGTGTAGCAGCTTTAACATTTAATGTGAATATTTTTGGAACTGTTGCAATATAGGTTGTAAGCTATAGTCTGCACCTATAGTTTTAAAGTTTTTCTTTTTTTAAAACCAAATATAGATTTTTAAGATTTAAATTTAATAAAAATGGTAATTAATTAATTTTTAAAAATTCTAAATACTATTCGAGCCGGCTCGCGAGCTCACGAGCCGAGCTGGCTCAAGCTCGAGCTCGAGCTCGACTCGCGAGCTCGATAAGCTCGGCTCGCGAGCCCATAAACGAGTCAAGCTCGAGCCGGCTCGGCTCACTTACACCCCTAGTTGTAAGTCAGTATGGATTGTCAAATGCATTGCAAATAGGCACTTCAAAGGTATAAAGTTAGACTCGATGTAAAAGGCTGCACTTAAATATATGGAGTTGATTATGGAGAGACTTTTGCACCTATTGCAGTGCTAAATACCATATGGATACTTCAAACCCTTGAAGCCAACCTCATTTGATCCTTATAATAGTTAGATGTACAACATGCAGTCGTACTAGTTGAACAAGAAGAATACGGCTGTATGGAACCTCCCCTAGATTTTAGTTAATATTCATGTTTCCAAGTTGAAGGAAGCTCTTTATGAACTCAAATAATCCCTAAGAGAATAGTTTTGGCTAAGTTCACCAAAGCCATGAAAAGGATAAACTTTAAACAAAGGTTTAAATTCATTACTATTCATAAAGAAATTCAAGGAGGAAAAAATTGCAATTTTAATATTTTATGTGGATGACATGATTATAATGTGATATTATTGTGGAAAAATAAGGAAATTGAAAAATAACTAGAAAACTCAAATGCTTCATTGTAATTGAAGTAGCTCACTTATTCATCTCCAAACAAAAACATATATTGAATCTACTAAATAAACATGGATGATAGGGGATACAAGGTTTTAGAAGTGTAGATAATATACCATAACTAATATAATTATAGTTTTATAATATTATGATGGACCGACTGAGTCTGTGGGCCCCACTAGTGTGGGTGGGGGCAAGGAGAGAGGGGTGCTCAAAGGGGATTAATTACATACCATAGAAGATCAAAATTGGGAGGAAACTGTGATTGTTTATTTAGGGAAAAAGGGCTGATTTGATTGGGAGGGAATTAGAAAGTTTCCTAATCAAGAAGGAGCTGTTTAGGAAGGTTCTTAATCAACGAGGAATTGTTTAGGAAAGTTTTAATTAAAATTGGGAGGGAATTATTTAGGGTAATAGATCTAATTTGAATTCAAAATCTAAGAGGGAACTATTTTGGAAAAATTAGGAATTAAGGGGGAATTGTTTAGGAAAGTTTTAATTATAATTTGAAGAGAATTAAATAGGGAAAATGTATCTAATTTGAATTCAAATATGAGAGGGAATTATTTAGGGAAAGTGGGTTGGTTTGAGAGGTAATTAGGGGAGCCTATTTAAGGCTAACAATGTTGTATTTTGGGTATTATGTGATTTATGTTTGCTGTAGTCTTTTTTGAGAGGGCTCTAGTTGGTGGCTAGGGATTTGGGAGAGCCGGATCTTCCTCTCCATTTGAAGATCCATCTGTATCTTGTGTTTTCCTACATAGATCTTTCAATAAAAAATGTTCATGTGTCTTATTCTTCCAAATTTTCTTGTTGTCATTCTCTGGTTTTTGATGAAAATGCATCCACTTCTCATCAAATTGGTATCAGAGCGTAGATCTGAGTACCTATGGCGGGGAGAAAGGTTGAAGTGTTGGAAGGGTAGATCAGACAAGTGAAATTTGATTTTGTATAAAAAATTTTAGATTTTCATACTCAAATTTCAGCCATCCATGAGAAG